CCGTCGCGTCAACCGGGATCGAGGGGACGCCATCACCGAGCCCTTCTCCCTCGGCAAGTTCCTCCAACCCGCGCTCGACATCAAGGTCTGGGTGTACGCCATCATATTTTTCTGTGTCACCACCGTAGGCTACTCCATCAACTATTTTCTGCCCATTATTCTTGTCGGCATGGGTATGTAATCCCACTTTCGCTCCAGATATAGTTGTACGCGTTCTACAGCCTCACCTAACATGCTTTTACTTGCAGACTTCTCCGTCGCCGCATCGCAGTGTCTCATTGTGCCGCCGTGGATCTTCACCGGCATCGTCATGTACATCCAAGCCTGGATTGGCGACCGCTACCGCATCCGCGGTCCCATTATTGCATTCAATGCTGTCCTCTCCTTGATTGGGCTCGTTTTGATGGGATTTGACCACTCCAACCCTGTCCGCTATTTCGGCGTATTCATCATCGTCGCAGGCGCCAGTGGAAACACGCCTCCAGTCCTGACTTACCAGGCCAATAACATCCGCGGCCACTGGAAGCGCGCGTTTTGCAGTGCTACCTTGGTTGGCTTCGGTGGTGTTGGCGGCATTGCCGGCGCGCTCGTCTTCAGAAGCCAGGATAGCCCAAAATATTTGCCGGGCATCTATGCCTCAATTGCCTGCAACATTATCATTCTGATATGCGTGGCTGGTCTGTCTCTGTGGTTCCGATACGCGAACAACAAAGCCAGAACCGGTCAGAAGATCCTGGAAGGCCTGGAAGGCTTTACGTACACGTTCTAGTGCTGCTAGAGATTGTCACCCTCCTGCCGTTCGACCCTATCACATGGGGGGTGGTGGGATCAGGTCCACCCCATTTATTTTGTATGGCCCCACTTTTCCGGTTTTAGTCCATTCCAATTTCTTTTTATACTCTATTCCTCTTAACCTTCTCGATAAACTACGGACTTGTGAGTTTGATATTTTCGAGAGCAAGTAATTATGTACAAGAAATTTTAAACCAAGAGGACTTGGTAATTGAATTGGGGTTGTAGTGTGGTTTTCAAAATAGAGGGTTTTTGATGGGGGCGACTGCGAGACGGGCCGACTATCATAGTACGTCTGGCGGAAATATATATTTCTGATATCTGTAGACCATAACTGCCTATAAAATATGAAAAAACCTACTAGTTAGTTTAAACAGTATTATAATAGAATAGGAAGTTCCTTATTGATATAGGAAAACAATTTTAGATAATCTAGATATTCCTTTTATAGACTTAATTTATAGGGTAGTAAGAGGGGTTAGAGGCTTTATATAGAGACTTTAACCTATGTATAAGTCTATTTATTTTTTATAGAGATTATTCTATTTAATAAAGAGATATAAGTCTGTTCTAAATTTAGAGATACTAGTCTATTTGATTCTCCTATACTTTAGTCTATTTAGTTTACTAGTACCAGACTCTACTCTAATTAATATAACCTAGTGTAAGTTTATTCAAATTTCTATTAAGTAAGTCTATTCTAATTTTATTACTATTAGATAAGTATATTTTATATTCTATATATTACTTAACATTATATTATAACCCCCTAAGTAATTAAAAGTAGTTAATAGATAGATTTTAGAATATTTGGAGGTTTTTAGGGTTGAAAATAAGCTCTCTATCCTCTATTCTATTTAGAAACCTTATACTTTAATCTATTCTAATTTTAATCACTTCTTACTATTACTTAGTTCTATTTCGTAAGCCTATTAGATAATATCTATCTCTAGGAATATTAATCACTTAGATTTTTGTTACCTATCTAATACTTTAGCATTTAGTAATTTATTATATCTATTCCAACTACTAAGTAGCTATTCCTTTAGCTCCCTAAGTATTAAGTAATTATATACTACTAGTATAAGTTTACTATCTATCTAAATAAGTTTTTTAGTTACTTTTACTATAGTAACCACTAAATTAATACTATATATAGTTAGTAGATCCAGAAAACTATTACTATCTAGTATAGAATTATACAAGATCTATAGCTACTATAATTCCCCTATAAGGTTAAGGAGCCGACTAAGGGTTTATATATTTACTATATTAGACTTTAGTATATTAAAGAGCTAGAGTATTACTATATCTACTACTCTATAGAAATAATAAGAAAGTATTAGTTTGCTAAGTATTACTTCTCCTTGGTAAAAGACCATAGTTATATTTAGTAGTAAGACCTACCTATAGTACAAGAAAGCTATAAGTATATAATATAATATATAAACTAGACTGCGGCATATCCATATCCATGGACATGAAAGTGGTATCCATATCCATAAATTATGGATATGGACATGGGATTAATATCCAAATCCATAAGTAAATATCCATGGATATCCACGTATGGATATGGATATCCATATATTATCCACACCAGCATAAACCTCGCTAATTTTCCCAGTTTAGCCTAGCACATCGCCCTTATGCAGCTGATTCAGCCTGTTTTCAAACTAAATATACGGATGTTTTGTTCTAACTATTCTCTATATTGTAATTGATCTTTTTGTAAACGAAATTTTATGAATTGTATCTGTATTTATATTTTAAATTATATAAGTTATCTTCAAGTAACTTAGTACGCAAGGCTTGTTAATGATGTGGATATCTCATTATGAGAGTTGTTGAAAGTGGATGTTACAGACCATGTAACTATGAAAATATATATTAGTGTTTCGAGGCAACCCATCAAAATTTGGGGAAATGATTGAAGTTGAAGTACCTTAAAACTATTGTAAAAAGGCTTCAAAGTTTAAATATATAATAATACCATACAGTCCTATTTTATATGTCCTTTAAATGATAGAATCTTATGCAAATAGACTAATGAGATTTACATTCAAAGTTCTCAAATTACGGACTTAGTAATTTTTTGGAATCCTCTATGGATAATTATGGATAATGTATGGATAATGTGGATATCTATACTTTACCCACATTATTATACCCTCTAGCCAATGATAATTCAGAAATTCACGAGTCACGTCGCCAAACATGTCAAAAGCACCAGTTTGCTCCTACCCCTGAGATTTTCAGCTCAAACACTTTCTAGGTGAGCTCCCTCTTTTCTCATATTGAGCATTCTTAGATTAATACAATATGTTGCAGTCCTATATCTCTCAGTTATAAGGATCTCTTTATCCAGAATCAGATTCATTTCTTAATACTGATCCTCTGGTATCTGATGATATTCACGACTTTCTCAGTAGTCAGCCAGCTGTGATAGCAAGGACAACTTATTCTTCAGAAGCGTGTATATCCTCTGCTCTAATATCGCTCTCTCGCGTTGGCCTGCCTCTCTAATGTGTCTGGGTGCTTTACTTAAGTACTCCTGATATGGATGAATCCCGATAAAGCTTTGTTCACTGGTGGTTAACAACTGAATATGGGATAAAGTTAAGCACCAAGTATAGGGAAGGTCTGGAAGGATTAGAATTCCTCTTTTAAATGGAATAGCCTAAAACGATCGGAAATCTGGAACAGTTTTGAACAGGTTGTATATGAGAGGACTGGGGAACCAAAGGTATTGTGTAAGCAATGTTTATCTACTTTGGTTTATCTACAGCGTCAGTGTTTTGGAACATCTTAACGCGCTGGAACCTCTCCAATGATAGCTTATCTCAAAAATGCCTGTCAACAGAAGCCTATTTTAAAACGACGAATTGATCAGTTACTATAAGATATGGTATGCTCCTTATATTCTACTTCTATTATATTATACAAACTAATTCTATACTCTCTCTTTGCTAGCTATATAAACCAACAGTCTCAGTATTCTCACAAGAACTGCTAGTAAACTATTTACTAGAGTTTATCTCAGCTGCTCGGCTACCTTTCTGTATTGTGGAGTATCCTCAGTTTAAAAACCTGGTTGATCTTGTTCAGCAATCACTAAGCAAAATCTCTATTCTATCTCTACGGACCCTACGACGCGCATTAAATATAACTGTTCAAGATAGTCAAAAGAGGATACTTAGCAAGCTGCCACCAGGATGCTAAATATCAATTGTACTTGATTGCTGGACGTCTCCATTCCGTCAGCTATTTATGGCTATTATAGGCTACTTCTTGGATGTAGATTGGAATTATTGTGAGGTTCTCCTTGGGTTTGAGCATGCTCCAGGCTCATATGATGGCGAGAATCTAAGCAAGACTGTTTTAAAGCTACTAGAAGAGCATGACATTACTGATCGTGTTTTGTCAGTCACAACTGACAATGCAACAAACAATGCCATATTGATGACTAGTGTCCAAGATACTATTCGATCAAAGATACAGCAAGATACAGCTATCTTCCGAGTACCCTGTATCTCATATGTGATTCAGCTCAGTCTGAATGATCTCCTTGGGAAATTGAAAGTAGCTCCTTTAAATTCTCAGGCTGAGTCAGAATGGTCGGATGAGCGAACCCATTTACTACAATCAAAGCGTGGAGGTCGACAGATTGCAGATACTCTCAGGAAGGTATGATTGATCTATCTCTAAATTATATTATTTTAGTTTTTACTAATAATGTAACCCCAAGATTTGAGAATTTGCTGTCTTTGTCAATGCCAGTTTGTAGCGCCGAGAGGCATTTCTTGAGCTTCAAAAACAAGAACCTCGTCTTTACCCAATTCAAGATGTCCGCACACGTTGGAATTCAATATTCTTAATGCTCAACCGTGCAAAGAAGCTATAGCTAGTATTTGATCTCTATTGTAGAATGCATTAATATCTGTATTTCAAACTTGACTAAGAGGAATGGCGTCAGGTTGAGTATCTTCTTCTACTTATAAAGCCGTTCTTTACCTTTACAAATATTCTTTCAAAAACAAAGGATATTACAGTCTATAATATCTTTAGTATCTATAACAAGCTCTTCAACCATCTGGATGAGGCTGAGACTAAGCTGAAGAATAAAGGTGTGATTTGGAAGAAATATATGCTTCAGGCTCTTGGTGCAGTAAAGAGAAAACTTGCAAAATACTATGCTGCCACTGACAATGAAGTATATGGCGATATATATGCCCTTGCTACGATTCTTTGCCTATCAAAGAAGCTCCGATATTTTCAATCTGCTGACTGGTGAGGTGAGATTGACTATGTCAAGCGTTACAGGGATGTTCTTGAACGAGAATTCATACGATATAAAGACCAGATAAGTCAAGATCTGGCCCCAGATACCCAAATCACATCCCAAGAGCCTATCAGCTACGAGGAGGATCTTGAGATGCTATGTGACTCTCAGAATTATCTCTTACAGGAGATTGAGAAGCCAGAAGATGATGAGATTGCCCGGTATCTAGTAAAGGGTCTAGTGAAAGGTAGCCCACGCCTCTTCTGGAAGCAGAATGAGCATGAGTATCCTGTTCTTGCAAGAATAGCACGAGATATTCTCTCAATCCCTGTGAGTGGTGCTGGTGTTGAACGGCTCTTTAATAGCGCGCGAGATATCTGTCACTATCGCTGAGGTCGTCTTTAGCCAGATACAATCAAAAAGCTAATGCTGCATCAGTTCTTATCTAACTTTGAGCTTGAACAAAGTGCGTTAGATATTGTGAAAGAGTATCTTGATGTTGGAGAAGCTGCAATGCTTGATCAGGCTTACAAACCAGTTCCTTCTCTTGAGGATCTTGAGCCGATCAGTAATAATGAGGAGGAGGATCAAGAGTGTATTTCAGAGGATATCCTAGAGAATGGTTCCAGTGAGGATCATGATCAACAAGAGGAAGACCAACATTAAGGGGGCAAAAGACCACGTTCAGTAAGTCTAGAAGAAGATGATGATTTACCACAACGGCCAGATGAAGAGAATATACAAGTGCGGTCAGGACGGATTCGGAAACAGCCAAAGATGCCAGCTGGGTTTGAGATTGCAAAGGCCTAAGCAGATCTGCAGATTTGTTGAGAAGAATACAGCTTGTAAATAGGTTCATCTATTCTGTATACTTTATTTATAGCTGGTAATACTCTTTCAGTTATTATTCAAATAAACCAGTAGTCAGAGATTAAACGAAGGAGAATCCAGTACAACAAGAAACTATCAAATACGGGAAAACATGCACAATTTATGCACTCCGATTCTGGACTAAAACCTTGGCCAGTTTGTCCTGTTTATTATCCATGGATATCCATGCATATCCATATGGATATAGATTCAATATCCATATCCATAACTCATGGATAATGGATATGGAATGGTATCTATATCCAAAAATTATGGATATGGATATGGATATCCATGGATTTTATGGATACTGCCGCAGCCTATCTTCTAGAAGAAACTAAACTTCCTTAGATACTTTAATAACTATAAAGATTAGACCTGGCTAGAACCCGCGGGTACCCTCCACGACCCTGACCCTCACCTCCCCATGCGGAGGGTCAGGGTCCGAGACCTGGACCCGCGGGGAGGGTCGCACCCAGGCCGACCCTCATGAGGGTTACCCGCGGGGACCCTGAGGGTCGTCAAACATAACAAACAGGTAAAAGACGTGACTGGGCGTCAATTGCATAAATTATGTAGAAACAAGCTGTATTTCATTGTAATTGTAAACTAAAAACTTCATCATTGTATAGCCTTACAGGAGGATACACTCCTTATTGCATCCATAGGTTCATCCTCGAATAGGGGTTTAATTTTTGAATGGTTTACATTACATCTATAGCATAGTGTCTAGTCATAGTTCTAACAAGCCAAGAGTCAAACTATATACCCATCCAGTAGTCTCGACTTCTTCTGTATCCTACCTGATACACGATGCTGCGTATTAGGGAAGGATAATAATAGGTTCTCCTCCGGGTTCACAAATCCATCGGCATCAGAATCTTCCTCATCACCAGAAGTGACCGCAGGCCGCTTTCCAGCGGCAACCGCTGAGAGTGGCGGTACGTTTGGGGTTGTTTGCATAATTGATACAGCAGCCGGTGTATCAAGACGCAACTCAATATCCTCCTCCTCGTCATCACTGATAGCCTCGAAGGTATGTGTCTGGACATCAAGTGCTTCTGCCGAAGCTGCTATCTCATGGTCTAAGAGATACTCTTGGAGAATTAGCCGCTGCTCCTCCTCAATATCAAATTTTGTTGTACACATGTACAACATAATATCACGAATAGTCTCTGGATTCAACGACCCCCGGCGGTAGTGGCATACATCCCGAGCAGAGTTAAACAGACGCTCAACTCCGGCACCAGTTGCTGGAATTGACATGATATCACGGGCAATGCTTGCAAGAACAGGGAACTCTCTCTGATGATCTTTCCAGAAGATCCGAACAGATCCTTTAATAGTATCTAATCAGGTGAGGTTAGTTATATGATTCATTACATAGGCTTATTTACTTACCACTCTGGAGATATTTGGTAAGCTCGTCGTACTGTGGAGCAATTGATCGTGGTGAAGAATCACCGTCAAGGGCCCTCTCTAGCTCCGATTCAGTTATTAATAACTGGCTATTAGGCTGTATCATATCTGATGGTATACGTTGGCTATATCTCTCGAAAAGAGACTGAAGACTCTTGCGGTATTCTTTTCTATAGTCCTTTCCTATCTCAGGATCTAGGTCCCAATCACCTGTTGAAAAGAACTCTATCTTACTTGATGGCGCTAAGATCGTCCCAATTGCATAAAGATTACCTTCGATATTATCTGTCTCGCCGTAGTATTTCTTTAGTTTCTCCTTTGCAGCCTTAAGGGAGGAAAGCATCAGCTGTTTCTAGTGAACTTTCTTTCGACGAAGCTGACGAATTGATCTTTCAAGATGATCAAAAAGCTTGTTATAAATCCTAAAGATAAGGTGGATACTTGAGTCTTTAGTACGACAAACTAGTGTAGTAAGCGTAAAAAAGGGCTGGAGAATATAAAGTAGATAGTCAATCTGCCGCCACCCCTTAATACTCAATGTAAAATGGGTTTGGGTGTAGTCCTTGTAGTACTTGTTGAATATGTTATGAAGTCTTTTCGCCCGCCGAAGTATCAGAAATGTCGAATTCCATCGTGTACGGACATCCTGGATTGGGAGAAGCCTTATCCTAGTATTATTAGATTGAAGATTTAAGAAGGCTTCTTTGCGTTGAGGGCTTCCGTTGATATAAACTGTAAGGCCGCGAACCTATAAGGATTATTATCGTTATTGGATTATGATTCGTAAATAGAAGCTTTAAGCTTACCTTATTTAGAGTATCGGCGATCTTATGTTTCTGCTGGCGTGCACGAAGTGAATGTACACGATCTTCAGACCATTCCGTCTCGGTGTTGTTATTCTTCGGGGCGGCCTTAATTTTACCAAGTAAATCAGTTAGACTCAATTGAATAATATGTGTAAGGTAGGGCACTTGGACAATTGTAGAATCTGTCTCTTGCTGTAGCGTCTTAGTCGAATTATTTACCGCTGCGATAAGTGTCTTATTATTAGACGCATTATCAGTTGTCACCGCCAGTATACGGTCAGCGATCTGGTGCTTCTCTAGGATCTGGAGAACAACCCTACCGAGGTTCACTCCAGTATGAGATCCAGATATTGGCTCAAACCCAAGGAGAACCTCGCGATACTCCCATTCCTGGTCTAGGAAGTATCCTGTGATAGCCATGAATGCTTGCTGGAATGGAGAAGTCTAACAGTCAAGCGCAATCGACATTCTTACACTAGATGGAAGCCGTTGTAGTGTCTCCTGTTGATGTTCTATAACAAAATCCTGAAGGCGCTCACGAATCACCTTTCTTGATGGAACACTTGGTAGTGTGGGTGCTAGCCGTGTGTAGGAAAGGAGGTCGTGGAATTCTTGATGTTCGACAAATAGGAAGGGTAAATGCGATACAGTGATCAGGTTTAGGATCTTCTGCTCCCATATTTGCTGGGTAAAGGTAGGCGCTGGTCTTCTCTCAGCCTAAATAATAGTGAAAATAGTATTAGTATTAATATTAAATATAGGCTGGTTCAAATATACCGCGTCACTAAGTAGTTGCTGGATATTACCCTTCTTCGGTATTCGCTGTCGGCACCTTAGCCCATCGAGATGTTTCTGCATCAATGAGGTTCCAGTATGGTTGGTAGTTGGGTGCTCAAGAATTGTACGGCACCGTTTGCATATAACGCCTGGCTTCCCATCTTTGGTATTTGCAACTTGTTGAAACCCTTTCCAGCACTCTGCACGACGGTTCACATCCCAGTTGATCCGCTTCTTCTTACCAAAGTCGGTTTCAAGCCACCACTGAATAAATTCTGCGGTCATTGTAGTTGTAAAGACAACGTACTCGTTGATACGGTCTGGTTTGATTCGTGTAAGAGTGTCTGGGGCCTGAGGTGCCACGCGCGATCGATGGGTTGGAAGGTCTGGAAGGTCTGGAACTGATCCAAACTGACTTTCGGATAGTAGTTGACTCTGGCTTTCGCGTTGGGATAGGGAATCGTTAGGAACAAGGTATTGTAGCGTGTCTAATTGCACCCCATCGAAGCTAGATGATGCGTAGACATCGGAGAGCTGCGACATGACAGATTTAGTAACTAGAAGATAGTACTATGACTGAGGAAGAAGAGAGTGAGGAACTTACTGTTTAATTTGTAGAAAAAGATACGCAAGATTCTTGGGGCATCCGTTCATCCCTGTTCTATATGCTAGAATTGATCTATCATCTTTTGTTTCCACATAGCTAGATCTGATTGGCTAGCATAATAAACGAACCTCAATGAACCTCAAATAGACCCTCGCTTACCCGCAGCGACCCTCAAATAGACCCTCGCTTACCCGCAGCGACCCTCAAGGGGACCCTCACTACCCGCATCGACCCTCAAAAGAGACCCTCAAGTTGAGAAAAAGTCTTGATCAGAACGACCAAGTCCAATAATTGCAATCTTTGAACCGGATTTACAACATATTTAGATTATTTGTCCTGAATTCTTGAAGAAAAAGTAATAGAAGAAGATATAACAGCTCAAATGATGTAAAAATGAGGTTATTTGAACCACGTTTTTATAGCTTTCTTAAAAAACAGTGGTTCTACAAATGAAGATACACATAGGTTACACTATCTGCAATATATATATTTACAACTTTACATGCATTTTTGTCGACAACCGCCACTGACCACCCCCTATATCGATATCATCAAATATTACTTGTAATCTGTGGGTGACCATGTCTACGGTTTACTTTTACATGAATATTTATTTATAATTCGCTATATTGATGGAGTATTCAGTAAAATATCTACAAATTGACGGAACAGCTATAAAAAACATAGATGAATCATCAATTTTATGCAACCGAAAGAGGTAAGGCGTCGAAAATTTATGCAAATGCGGGTCGTTGAGGGTCGCCGAGGGTCCGCATACTGAACCTCAACGATCCTCAGGGTAGGTTGAGGGTCGGAAGGTTGGAACCTCCCCTCAAGAGGGGAGGTTCGAGGTTCTGGGGTAGGGACCCATGCGGAGGGTCGTAGCCAGGTCTAATAAAGATATAGGCTTAGTTTCTATATACTTTTATAAACTAGTAAGGTTTTAACTATTCTATTATCTCTCTTTTATATTCAAACCACTATTATCTCTACTATAATACTAATATAATTTATATCTCTTAGATAGTTATATTTAATAATAGTATTAGGGATCCAAAGAGATAAGGATCTCTATTAATTATAATACAGAAATACAAAAACTCTTATTTTATCCCTCTAGAGTTATATATAGTAATTAAAATAGTCTATATATTATAGGTAGGAGTATCTTATTAACTTATTACTTCTAAAAGAAAAGTACTATACTTAGCTTAGTTAAAGCAATATTTCTAAACAAATTTATAACTAATAAGGTCTATCTCTATACAGATATCGATATCCGTATATATTTCAATATTATTTTAAATATAGATAGAAGTATAGAAGTAGGTAACTATTCCTACTTAAGACTAAGAGTTAGAATCTATAGAAACTAGTTTAACTCCTATCCTTTTCCTAAATCCTTTAATTAAATATTATTACAATAATACTAGAGTCTTAAGTAAACTTTCTGGATTCTAACTCCTAGAGCTTTTAGTAGTAAATAATATTTACTTACTTAGTGATCTAGCTTACTATAGTTAAAATAAGATTTAGAAGATATTTTATTAAAGGAACTAGATAGACTAGTCCTAGTAATATAAGTATAATTAGAATTACCTTTATTCTATAGGGGGAAACAGACAAGGTCTGTTTCTGAAACAAAGAAGGTTCAGATTTGAATTAAAATTATTTTAATTTAGATTTAAATTAAAGTTATTTTAATTTAGATTTAATCTTAGACTATAAAAGCTTCTTAAGTATAAGTACTTAGAACTCCTTTAATTTTATTCTTTACTATTAGATTAGTTTAGAAATAAGTTATTAGGTTATAGGTATTTCAAGCTTAAATTTAAATTACTATTAAATAGATTACACTTTTATACTTTTACTTTATTAAATTCCTATATACTTTATATTTCTTCTATCTATTCTACTTAAGTAGTAGGTATATTCTTAGTATATTATTAAATATATAGAATTAACCACTACTATAGCTTTAATATATAATAGTAAACTTATTTATCTTAGGATACCTAGGGTAGATAATACTCTAGATCTATAAGATAATAGTAAAAAGCCTTTAGCTCCTTATTAATTTACTAGCGACAGCACTCTATCTTATTACTAACTTCTCTAGTAAAGATATTTTTATTATATATTAGAGTAAGAGTCTACTCTTTAAAGTACTCCTAGCTACTAAAATATTTATCGTTGTTATCCTTAAGATATCTTTCTTCTATAGTCTAATCATTTTTACAATTAGAATTAAGATACTTAATTCCTATAAGAATCTTTATCTCCTTATCCTTATAGACCCTAGAGTTACCTCAGAAGATATAACTAAGTTAAGAGAGCTAATTTTCTTACTCCTAAATACTAAATAATCTCTTAAACTTATCAATCTCAAAACTCTCTACTTTCTTATACTTCTTAGCTTCGATTTGTCCACAATTTATAGATAGACTATTTAAAAAGTCTTCTGTACAAATTTTGGAGACTTAAGCAATAAGTTCCTTAAGATATATATAAACTGCTAGGAACTCCTTAAGATACTTAATTTTATACTTCTTCTTCTTGAGACTCTCTTAATCAAGTTCTGTAATACTTCTAGTTATTAGTTCACTTACAATTCCTTAGATCTGTATCCTATATAGGGGAGGGGATAGTGATATATTAATAATGTATTCAGCAGTCTCATAGATAGGTATCTAGTCCGGTATAGGTTCGATAGGGGTTCTAGGTTGATCCGGGATCGATTCAACCTCAGGCTATCGGATAGCCAGAGATATAGCAGATTCAGAATAAGTGCTATTGCAGGAGAATACGGGGTTTCAATACATAGAGGGCACCATCTTCAATCCTTGGATAGTCAATGAAGAAGAATCAGAATTGTAACAGTTACTAAGTTATCAAGCTAGAGACCTATAACTAGGTAAGGATATCGGACAGTAGAGATCAGATTAGATAGTTGATATACAGACTAATTCTTAACAAGATCAAGAATCCTAAATACTTGTGGGATCTTAAATACATTAGGGTTCGGGTGGGCCTCGATATACAGGTAGCTCGAAGGGGATTCAAGTGCGGATCGACGTCGAACGTCTGGGGTGCTGTATACTTCGAATCCCGTAACATATATAATGGCAATCTAAGGGACAGGCTAGAGACCTGTGACTAGGCAAGACTTCGGAGGGTAATCGAAGAATAGGAGAATCAACCAATAATATATATGAATAGTAACAGAGACTAATTCTTGAAAACTTTTAGAATAAAGGAAACACTGTATTAAGTTATTTATCCTGACTATTACATAAATCAGGTATAAATCAGTATCAAATCAGATATAAACCTCTAGTATAGCTAAGATTAGACTTCGGCACGACCCACGGGTACCCATGGGTACCCATACCCAACCCATCGATGGGTTAGGTTTTGGGTCCAAATCTCCGACCCATGATGGGTTATGGGTCGGAGCTCAAAACCCATAACCCATCATGGGTACCCATATGGGTACCCATATTGCTGTAAACAGGGCAAACTACGAAAAATCTCGTGATTGCATAATTAATGCAAATTTAGCTGTAATTTTAGGTATTCTAGTCACATGTAAAAGAACCTACATGATGATGATAATTGATTCAAATTAATTCTATTATTCAAATTCTAGTACTGCTCAAAATTATTGTCCTCTCTGTGTTTACGCTTCCTTGTAGACATCCGTAGCTGAGTCCCATTCTCTGGTAATAGAGGCTGCTGAGGATCTTGACCCTCAACACCAAGATCTATTAATTCAGTAGTAGAAGCTACAACAATATCCTCCTCCTCCTCCTCCTCCTCCTCCTCCTCCTCCTCATTATCACTAATCGAAACTATCTCAACATCCTGGAGATTCTCATCATTCTGTTCCTTTGACATCTCAATCTCATCCAACGTAAAATACTTCTCAAGCTGCTTCATCTCTGCCTCCTGGAGATCGAATCTTGATGCACACAGGAATAGCATGATTTCTTCAATAGTCTCAGACTTTAAACGGCCGCGTCGGTAATGGCAGACATCACGCGCGGTGTTAAAAAGCCGCTCAACACCAGCACCAGTTGCAGGGATTGAAAGAAAATCTCGAGCAAGCAATGCAGTTGCGGGAAACCGAGACTGGTTCTCACGCCAAAAATGAAGTGGTTCATCTTCGACTGGGTCTAGAAATAAATTAGTATAGAATATTAAAGATAAAGACTCTTTATGAAAGAGTTAAAGAACAAGACTGACCACTATCAAGATACTGAGCAGCCTCATCTCCAACAGGTTTTGCTATAGTCTTGCTCCCACTGAGCATCTTGTTGAGTTTTGATGTAGGTCTTGATGATGCCTGGGGTGTAGGTGAGGCTTGATCTCTGGCAAGACGTTGCTGATATGGAAGCAGTGCTGACTGGAATGATTTGCGATATGCAACACGCCACTGTTGCTCCCAGTCATCAGTTTGAAAGAACTGGAATTTGCTATCTGGTGCAACCATAGTACAAATCGCAAAGATATGTCCTTTCACACCATCTGTTTGCGAATAGTAGCCACCAAGCTTCTGTCGGCCAGCTTCAAGTGATTGGAGCATCTGCTTTTTCCATGGAATCCGCTTCTTCTTTAGCTGACCTATTGACTTCTCAAGATGCTCAAAGAGTGCATTGTAGAGCTTGAAAACCAGATGTGTAGTAACCTCCTTTGTCTTTGACAGCTCAGTAGTGTAGTCAAAGAAAGGCTCTGTAATACAGAGAAGATAATCAATCTGACGCCACTCCTCATTATTAAGCAACATCTCTTTACAATCATACTGCTCACAGAATGATATAAAGTAGCTGCGTAGTCGTTTGGCACGTCGAAGCATCAAAAAGGTTGAGTTCCATCGAGTTCGGACATCTTGAATAGGCACTAGCCTAGGTTCTTTAGGCTGAAGCTGGAGAAAGGT